CAATTTAGCTTTTGCCCCCGCTGCTCCACACTATGTATATAACTCATCTCTTTGGATAGATCTTTGGAGAGTCCCTTTACTCTATATGCCCCTTCCTTCTGGGCAGACACAGGCTGCGCCATGTTAGGATACAGAATTGGGAATGGTATTCCTCCTGGCAACAATACTTTGCCAATTTAACCAAGACCTAAAAAACACTACAAATTTTTATTTCCCCCACCCTCAGATCTCTAGGTACTTTGGTGCACCAGGGTGCAACTCTCTGAGCTCTTCCATGCAGCATCCTTCCTATGTTTGGCTTCTGTCACCAAAAGCCTCAACAACAATAGCATCTTACATTTATGTGTTGGTAAAGACTGGAACTGTGATTTCATCAATCTAGGTGGAGAAATTCCCTCCACCAATGCAAGGTAACACTTTATATACAACTTATTGTCTTAAGAGAAACTTATATTAGATGTTTCAAATAGGTTCTCATTTGACATTCAAAACAGTCCCATAAAGGAATATCACTTTACAGGTAAGGAAACTGAGGCCTAGAGGTTCTTAAGTTATTTACTCAAGATCACTTAGCTAATAAATAAGACAGAATTTGAGTCTATGTACTCAAAACAACTAAACAAAACAACTAAAACAGGTTGGTGGCCCAGTGGCCAGCCTGTGGAGTCAGGAAGAATCATCTTCCTGAGTTCAAATCTGGCCTCAGATACTTACTAACTGTGTGACCCTGGGCAAGTCACTTAACCTGTTTGTCTCAGTTCCTCATCTGTAAAACGAGTTGGAAAAGGAAATGGCAAACCACCCTTGTATCTTCACCAAGAAAACACCAAATGAGATCAGACGTGACTGAACAATAATCTAGTGGATTATCTGACTCCCCCCAAACTTTGAGAATCCCACTCTGAGGATGTAAAAGACAGGGTATTATCTCAAGCCCTCAATGGTCATAATGGTTATCACGGGATTATAGGAGCAAAAAAACATGTGGGCCCTTCAGCCCTGTCCTTGATCTGAATGATTTGCTCCACGCCAAATGGCAAGAGACAATATTATACATCTTAAGTGGCTAGGAGCACTGACCAAGTCTTAGATGCACATCTTTATTCCTCAGTACCTGGGGTCTGTCTCTCATCTACACAGTATGTAAGAGACTCTACCAACCATGGTGACAGCTAACACAGGGAGAGATAGGCCAAAAAGCTATTCATGAAACAATCTCTCAGTGCCTTGCTTGCCTGAATATAGAGGAGGAATAAGATCAGCCTCTATTTTGCTTCCTTGATGTACAGGTGGAAGAGAGAGAGACTGATCTGAAGCCTAAGTTACAGAGAACTAAGAGAATGAGTATAAGCCAGGGAATGACATTCCCATCCCCACTGCTTACTTCTGTAAACAAAATAACTTGTCCTTCCTAGGGCAATCTAGATCAAAGCCCAGGCTCAATTGAGGGCTGGAGGTCATTGCTGGTGTTAGACAATGACTCAGAAAGGAGGTTGCTTCTCTGCTTTTTTATGCTTATACCTACAATCACAGCACTGAAGCCTCTTTCTCTTTTCACTCATCTAAATTTGCCCATTGCCTTATTGTGTGTGACCTTTTCCCCTTCAAAAAACGCCCTTCAGAGACCAATTTCAACTGTTTAAAATGTTTGCTTATAGGGGTGAGAGGGAGGTCGGCTTAGATTGGAGACAAGAAACAATAGTATGTAATTTGCCTGTTTCACTTCCCTACCCCCCCCCAAGTACAGTAGGACTGAGGCTATGCCCTCACCAAAGATGAATTGGGGGATTCAAGTAAAATTAAAAACACATCTCCCTGACTGCACTGTCACAAGATACATTAAGCTAATCTTCAACCTGCAGCTAAACTCATAAGCAAGGGGAATACAGTGTTTCTACACACTTACAAAGAAAATAGCATTGGGCTTGTGGTTGCCTGGTTGTGAACTAGCCCAATGCTAAAGTAAATTCGGGAAGAGAGAAGAATACAAAGCCGTCAGAGCTAAGGTCAAAATGAAAACAGTCAAAGACATACACCCTATTCGACTGCTGCCCCAGGACCTCTAACCAAATGAATCAGACATGCCTGAACTTAGCCAGCTACTACTGGTTACAGTATGGGAGCAGGCAGCCAGAGCAAGGGGCCCATCTTCCTTCCCAATCCTCACTCTCAGTCTTCCCTCTAATGATCCAGCGCTTTTAGTGCCACTATTTTTTCCTTTACAATTTACGTTCACCTGGAGGGTCCGATTTTAATTAGTGTAATATCCCTGTTAACAACACAGACTAATTAAGACATCCGTTAAGAATCCATAATGTAAACTTAATGAGCGGGCTCTGCCGGAATGTTTAGCCATTTTATTTATTTATTTTTAGCAGCCCCAGCAAAAAACCCAAGCAAGTTTGATTTGAAACACAATTATTAAATGGCACGATTCAATTACTTAACTACTGTGTCCTCAGTGCGAACGTACCTGTGTGTGCGATGGGGTATGTAGGCCCACTAAGCTCTGGATCTCTGCTTTTCTAACAGGAAATTTAGAGCCCAGAAGCGCACCTTCATCCGCCTTTTCAGTGAACACTGAAGGAGGGATTTCAATCTCATCTCTCTTTCCCTGAACTCTGCTCCAAGCCAGAGTTCAGCTATGCCTCAGAGATTACATCTAAGCACCTCTCACCTATGCTCTTTACCAGCTTTTCTTAAAAAACAAACAACAAAAAAAAAACCCATCATAACTGTACTTGTTCTCTTGCAAACACCTGAATTTCCCTAATGCCAGTCAGTCATGCGTGGGGGCGGGGAGGAGAGATTTGTTTCTCCCAGACACAAACTGGCTTTCTCTACTCCTCATTCGGTCCCCTAAATCCTTCCTGAAGTGTGGGTTCCCACCACCCCCAACATATGCATTCTCCCAAACATCCTTCGACCTAAGCCACCTCAGTGCTCATGCTATGCACACACATCGGTAGTGTGATTCACGGTTCTAGCACCTCCTGCTGCAGCTCTCATTTGGGGGTTGAGGAAAGGCTGTTCCACACACTCTTTATAATAGTATTTTGTCCCCTCTACACATCCAGGCCAATTTACCACTTTCGGCCAAGAGCTTACTGCGGGCTCTTGGTAGCAGAGTAATAATAAGCAGATGATTGCCCCGGGATCTGGGGCTGGTAAAACCCTCAGACACCCCGCCCCCACCTCTGCATACTGCCCCCACTTCTCCAGAGTCCCCAGACCGGGAGAGCATTGCAGAGCTCCGAGCCCCGCAATATTGGTATTCTGCACAGCAGCACCTCTGCTCTTCTGTGGCTGCAGAAGAAACAATAAAAAACGGCTTTGCGCGGCGCTCTCCCAAACCCTCCCAATGTCAATAGGTAGGAGAGTACCAACGAACAAGTAGAAAAAGCTAGGGGAAACCAGCGGAACGTGGTTCCCTTCTAAACTGAAAATGAACCTGGCTGGCCAAGCACAGCCGCTTCACAAGGGTCGTTGGGGCAGACAGTTTAAACGTGGTCAGAGCGACAGTTTAGCTCTTGTCCCCAAGCTTCTTCAAACCTCCCTGGGTGAATGGGTCTAGTTGGCCACCCCTCCCCCAAAGTAAGGGGCTAAAAATCTTCGAAGAGCAAAATTAAGGAGCCCCCCAATAGCATTCACAAAACTCCAGGATATCTTTGTGCCAGAAGAACCCCTTTGAGGGAAATGTGAACGTTTTTTACAAAGGTCGCCACGAATACCCCAATCCCTCTTCCCCAAGAGATAGACATCCCCTGACACAAACACACGCAGACTCACTCTCTCCCTTTCCCTCTTTGCACTCTAGGATCCAGCTGTTCTCTTTAGGAATTGGTGGGTGCCCAACGCTGCCTGCATGGCTGGCAGCCAGCAAACATTCAATCAACAACACCCGCCTAGCCCAGCAACACCCACTTAACTCCCTTCGGTTACATCCCACTTCCAGGTAACCCTTCTCCCCACCAATCTAGTACATGCCCTCTGAGAGGGGTTCCCCCTTCCCCCACTAAAAATCTCCCAGAGATGGCAGCATCAAGGGATTTTCTTCCTTTCGTTGTTTGAGGGGACGAGAGGTGGGCTCTGTCCCGTTTTAGTAAGCTCATTCCAAAAATAAAAGTCTCAAGCTTTGATCTAAGATGACCCTCTCCTTCCCCCAACCCACTCCCCAGAAGCTGGTCTCCCCTCTAACAAATCCCTTTTAAGGGAGAATTAATCTCTTTTTCCCCTCCCCACCCCCATCCCTCAAAGGGAATTCCCCCGTGCGCAGGGTATTGTGCAGCCGCCACCGCTGCCACGGCACCCCGTGCCCGGGACTGCCCCGACATCTGAATGGAGCAAAAGAAGAGGAAGGATCCAGCTTAGCGCGGAACACCACCAGACCGGTAGATAGCACCTCATTGCCAACTGCTCCTTCTCCATTCACAAAACCTGCTCCTCTCCTTCCTTGCCCCCGAGCCATCATCCCTGTCAACCTACGACCTCGAGGGGCAGGAGCCTGTGTGACCCCCTAACCCTTCAGGGCGCTGTCCTCCCGAATCTGCGATGCCCCCCCCTTCAGCACCTATCATCTGTCCCTGCTGTCTCCCAGCTCTCCAGTCCTTAGACCTCTGCGAATCCCTCTAGCCTCTCTTGTCCCTCAATTCCCTCCCCCCACCACCACCACTACTTCCTGCATTCGCGTCCCTGGATGCAATGCCCACCCCCATTTATATCCCTTATGCTCAGCGTCCTATCCCCACCCCCGGTCTTTTCGTCTCCCCATCTCCCTCTCCAAAGCCCCGGTTGTCCCTTCTCGTCTTCCTCTCCCTCCTACTCTTCCTCCTCCTTCTCTTCCTCCTCTTCATCCTCCACTCACCCCCATCCCTCGGTGCATCTCCTACCCCAGGTTCCATGTTTTCCCTTCTCTTCTTTCACCCCCAAAGATAATAATAACCAATAAAATAGGAATCCGGAGCCGAAGCGGCTGGCCGGGGGGCGCTGCTGTTACTCACGGTTTCAGCGTTCCCAACGGCAGGTGAGGGGAGACGCACTGCCATCCCCTAGCTGCATTCCCCACCCCCTCAAAGTGTCCGGAGAAGGCACCCCCTCTAAGGGACTGGGAGAGCCTCGCCGGCCGCAGGAAGCTGAGGAGGAAGCGAAGGCGAAGGCGGAGGCGGAGGCGGAGGCGGCAGAGGCTGCAGCGGATCTCGGCTCTGTACCCTACCACGCGACTCGACTCGTGTGTGCAGCGTGTGCAGCGGGAGAGGTCCCCAGAAGCCTGGGCTTCGTTGGCCAGAGAAGCGGGAGAAGAAGCCTGCGGAGCTGGGGCGGGAAGGAGACGGGGTCCTGGGTGGGAGCTGAAGCGGATTTTCGGTACCTGGAGCTCCAGAGCCAGGCAGAACGTGGGAGCGAGAGCAGCTTGCCCCAGGAAAGCTCCAAGACACCTGGCTCCCTCCCTCTTTCTCTCTCTCGCGCTCTCTCACTCTCTCTCTCTCTCTCTCTCTCTCTCTCTCTCTCTCTCTCTCTCTCTCTCTCTCTCTCTCTCTCTGTCTCTCTCTCTCTCTCTCTCTCTCTCTCTCTCTCTCTCTCTCTCTCTCTCTCTCTCTCTCTCTCTCTCTCTCTTTCCACCTCTGCCTCCCTCTATCTTTCGCTTTGCGGGGAGGGGAAGGAGCAGCAGCACGCAGCAGTAGCACAAGCAGCTCCCGCGCAGCACCCGCGCGAGTGTACCGCGCGCACCGCCCAACGAGGGAGGGGTCCCGGGGTTAGGGAGGGTAAGGGAAGACTGTATACAACAGGGGGCGGAGGAGAGGGAGCGGCCAGTCCCAGGGTGTGCGAGGACTAGGAGGAGGTGACGAGTGGCGCGCACGTGCTGTGCAACGCGGTGAGAGGCAGGCACCTCCGCACCTGCCTAGTGGAGAAGCTTTGAGGCAGGTGATGGGTAGGGCAAGGAGTAAGGAAGACACCTCCGAAACTGGAAGGGTTTAATCATGCTTAAGGGGAGAAACCAGGAAAGATTGGATCTTCCTGGTCGGCTCCCAAGGCTCTCCTCTCATCCCCATCTTCCACCAAGTGGCGTCCTCTCTCTCACCGCCCCCATCACCGCCCCCATCACCACCCGGTCTCTTCTTAGGCTCCCCACATTGCTTTAGCTAAGGCAGTAACGCACAACATAAAGAACGCAACCCGAGTATACCCATGGTCTACCCCAAATTCCCCCTCCTTTATTCATCCATGCCAAAAAGACTCCCTACCTCTATTTCTGGGAATTGGACAGATGTGAAGCCCTGTCCTGGGTGATTTTACACACACAAATCTCCCTATCCTCATCGAAATATGCCTTGACTTTCTCTCACTAGCATCTCTTTTTCCTTCTAATTCACCCACCAGAAAGATTTCCAGAGGAGTTAGGGCCAAACCATCTGCAGAGCAGATTCCTTTTCCTGGTTTTCTTTCCTGGACAAGCAGAGGAAAACCTAGCTAGAGATGTGGCTAAAACTGTCTCTTTTTTCAGTCCCACCCCACTTCCAATTTAATGTGTATGATTTGGCCTAAGCCTTTCTAGTTTCCCCAGCTGACTTAATGACTTGGAGGGTAGGGATGAAAAGATATCTAGGGTTAGGTTAGCACTCCTCCCTATAATTAAGAGTTGCTGGTTTCTTCTGACCCCATTATACATAGTACAGTTTCAGTCTATAGCTTATTCCTTTGAGAGATAACAGTCCTTTCTACTTTAAGGTTTCTGAGGATGACTTTAAAGTCATCCGAATTCTTGACATTTAATCTAAGGATACAGAGCGCCTAAATGAATTTTAGCCACATCATATAAGTCAGTCCTGAGCTGACATTCCCAGTGCTGGCCAATTCAGGAAATGAGGAGTGGACAGAGAAATTTTAAATGCATAGCTGCTTGAGTTTAGCATCAGATGAAGGCAGAAAGAAAAAGGAAAATATTAATTAAGGGGAGCTAGCAGTAAGCAGGCTAATAAGATTGCCAGATTTCCATTATCTTAGAAAAGGTAAATTGAGGGTATGGGCCAACCCATTTCCTGGTTCTATAGACAAAAAAAAAAGTATTTGTTTATGTGGGGGAAGGGAGAGAAGTTGTAGATCTGGACAAAGTGACAGTGACTTTTGTCCATCATTACTGGAATTTTCCGATAAACCCTATGTCCAGTATACTCAGTACTCTACTGATTTCTTTCGTATGTCAAATTCTGGCCTGTAGTTACTGTTTCCAATTCTGGGAAGAATAATGGGAACTGAAGGAGGAAATCTGTCATGGGAAAAAGAAAGAGAGAATAGGAAGCAGCTAGGTAGTGTGGTGAATAAAGCAATGGAATTGGAGTGAGGAAGACCTGAGTTTGAATTTGACTTCAGATTCACTAGCTGTGTGACCCTTGGAAAGTCATTTAACTTTTGCCTCAATTTCCTCATCTGTAAAGTGGAACTAATTAATAGCAACTACCTCAAAGAGTTTTTGCAAGGATAAAATGAGATAATACTCTTAAAGTACTTTGCAGACTTTAAAGTGCTACAGAAATGCTAACTATTATCATTAAGAAAACAAAGACTCCTCTATTTGTTATGCAGTAAGTTGCTTCCTCCTTCAAAGTAGTCTCAGAACAAAGGACAAACCACCTCTGTGAGTCAATTATATGGTAAATACTTGATTATCCACTGGTGAAAAGTTTTTATATTGCACTCAGTATACCAATCAATCAATCAAGCCATATGCTACATTAAGTACCTAACACCACAGAGACACCTAGTTCACAAGAGACAAAATCCAAGACAATCAGTAGTAAAGCGCCTAACTTCAAATAATATTCATAAATGTCCAAAGTTTAGGCAACAAGCCAGAGGAACTAGATGTCCTAACTCAGAGGAGCATGTTTGACTTCATAGGTCATCACTGCGACTTTATGAAACTTGTAACTGGAATATAACTCTGAGTATACCTTATTCAAAAGCAACTAGCTAGGGAAAGGGGAGGGGGGAAGTTACCATTACATATTAAGAAAATGTATTCACTGGGGAAAACCAGGAACCAGGAATTGCCAACATTCCTTTGCTTCCAAACTTTCCAAAATACCTCTATATCATGCAGTTTATAATGGGCTGTCTACATCGGAAAGGGAAGTATGATGAAGAAAACTTGGGTCATGGTCAATGGAGAGAGAAATAGGAATGATTTTTGTCACTGGAATATGTTATGAGCCAGCTAGACAGAAAGAGGAAATAGATGAGTTTAGACTTGCCATGGTGGTAATTTCATCGTTCAAAAGGTGAAGGAAATACCAAGGAAAATTCTATTCTGTATATGATTTTCAGTAACAGGGAGGAAGTGATGATTGGGATAAAATATAATCAGAATTCTGGAGGGAAGAGACCACTTTCTCCTAAAATTAAGGAAAGGAATAGAGGAGTAGTCTGATATGTACCCTAGATTTTTAGGAAAGCAGATTTCAAAGGGTTCAGAGGAAATTTAGGTTGGATCCCATATATTAAAATTCTACTAGAGAAGTCAGCCTAAAAATGGAATTTGAAGACACAAAGGAAAAAATTCCAATGAGGAGGAAAAATGGCATTTTTCTCAAGATACCAATGTGGATGCACAAGGAACTCATCTACCCAAGCTAAATTTTTAAAAGAAGTTAACAGAAGATGGAAGCAAGGCAAGGTGACAAGAGAAATATAAGAGCATGGCACAGTTCTATAAAAATAGCCAGAATTGTTAAACTTCAAAAAAGAGCTAATGCTAGCAGGGGAAGTTTAGGACAGCTAAAACATTTGTTTGTTAGGCTATATTCAGAGAAAAAGGAGGAAAAAAAAGGACAAGACTATAGATTCGGATAGAGCATGCACCATGTATACTGGTGGGGAAACACTCCCACTGGCCCTTCCCAAAAGGGAAGTTCCCTGAAAGGAAGAGAAAAGGCCAATGGAAATGTTATGCCCCAGGGTGTACTAGCATGCTCTATCCATGCTCTACTCTATGCATGCCTATGGAGTGGACTTCTTGATTGGGGTTGGATGCATATATGATAACAAATCAGAACTGCTGAATTCTTATTTTGCTTCTATTTTATTCATAAAGGAGAATGACTATTTCACTGAGAATCAATCACAGTACAAAAATGATTAACAGGTAATTGATCTCCAAATCATAAAATAAATAAGGAGATAATAAGAGATAACCTAGTTGCCCTGGATGAATTCAAGATACGTAGCCTTTATAAACCATATCCCCAGATACAAAAAATAACTGTCAGATGTTAAGACATACAACAAGATTGGAGAAGAGTAGATGCTGTTCCAATTCTTTTTTAATGCATTACTGGGCTGCATTGAGAGGTATAACATCTGGGAATAAAGGAGTGACAGTCCCACTGTACTCTGCCCTCATCTGATTTCTTTTGAAGTGTTATATTCAGTTCTGGGTACCACAGTTCAAGAAGACCATTGATAAGCTGGAAAATGTAAAGAAAAATGCAACCAGGATGGCAAAGGGCCATGACTGGCTCTCTGTATCATATGAGGATTATTTAAAGGAACTGGGGATATTTAGCACAGAGAAGTCTTGGAGGAGGTGTGGACATAACAACTGTTTTTAAATATCTGAAGGTTGTCTTGTATAGAAAGGCTTAAATTTATTTTGTATGGTCCCAGTGGGAAGAACCAGGAACACTGTGTGGAAGTAGCAAAAAGGTAAATTTATGTTATGTTATGCAACTTCCTAGAAATAGAAAGGACATTATTAAAGAAGTGTAGGATTATATTATAGATTCAGAACTAGAAGAGGCTTTTGAGTTAATCTAATCCAACCTCAAGAAACTGAGACCTAGAGTAATTAAATGATTACCCAATGTCATACAAATTTCAAGGAATATTAAAAGGTCAATCTCAAAAGAAGAAAGGCAAGCTATCAACAATCATGTGAAAAACACTCCAAATCACTAATAATAAAAAAAAATTCAAATTTAAAAATGCTTGAGATTCTATCTGGCTCTGATCAGGTTGACAAAAATGAAAATGGCAAGTGTTAGAGGGTCTATGGGAAGACAGTCTGTTATGCTCAGTTAGTG